GCAGAACCGCGCTGCGGCGGCCCGAGTCCTCGTTCGCTCGCCCTTGGCGCCCTCGCAGACTGCAGAGAAACGAGGCGGGAGTCGGATTTCGGGCAGCGGTCGCAATAAGTGGGTTTTGGCCGCCGGAGCTGTAGAGGGGTTCTGGACGGCGCTAATAAGCCTCCCGCCTCGCCGAGCGAAGCAGGCTCGAGAACAGCCGGCCTGCTCGGCAGGCTGGCGGGCCTCGGTCAGGGAGCCTCATCCTGGGCGCTTTTCAGTAAAAGTACCTTCTGTAGAGCTTGTCGGGGGGTAGGTGTTTAGTTGCAGCTTTGTTGCCTGATCCTGTGGGTTTGGAAGGCCTGATTTACCATATGAGAAAGCGCGGGTTCAACTGTATCGTTATATGGGTAGAGAAATTTACTTTTAAATAAATCAGCGGTACACCGTTCCGGAGTCGGGTAACTCTAGAGGAGATGTTTCTGGAAGGAGTAAAGATGAGCAGCGTTGATGCTTCCCTTCTCGCGTACCTGTGGAGCTGACACCAGTGCATTTCAGACCTCATGCATTTTTAATTTCCCTCAGTCCCGACAGGCAGATGTCTATATTGCTGTTAGTGTGCAGGGTTATTTATAGTCCTTTATGGAACAGAAAGGAAACTCTATTATTTTGCTCCCAGACAAGAATTTTATTTTCATCATGTAAATAACGTGTACAGAGCCTGGATTTTTTGCACCTTTGCTTAACAGGAAAGTGTCAGTTTACCATTTCATGCAGACCTGAATGTACATGTAACCTCGCTCTCTTGTACTTGGACAGTCTGCTTAATTTTATTACAGCAGTTTGCTAGGAATTGTTTTAGATGTGCCTACTCAGCCTGTCAGAGTTTGCTGACTTTATCAACAGTTTCCTGTGGAAAATACTCTGGCAAAGGACTGTAGCTCAAAAGAAGCAGCAGATCGTAAGAGTGTGAAAATGGTTGGAAGCTTTCTCTGCTTAAGCAGTGGTTTTTGGAGACTGGACGGCTATTTGCAACATCTTGATTTGGGTTAGGGCTGATGAGTGGGACCCTGGCAGCAAAACCTTCCCCCCCACCAACTGCATCTCTCTTCCACGCAGGTGTGAATGACAGAGGAGGTGCCTCCGACTGCACTCAGCGAGATATACCTTCGCCTTTTGTGTCATGATGACATAGATACAGTCAAACAGCTCTGTGGTGATTGGTTCCCCATCGAGTACGTTGCGTTTTTCTTCCTGCAGCCACTCGCTGAGCCAGAATGAGATCTGTCCTTGAACGGTGTAAAAGGGAGCATATAACTGGGTTTCTGCTTAACGTTGACAGCTCAGAGGTGATAACATGACACAATGTCATCTCATTCAGTTCCCCACCCGGCTGTAAGGCCATTCATCCCCATCCCTATCTAGATCTCGTCATCTTGCTGGAGCTTGTCATAAGCACAGAACGGTTGGGCTCTAACTAGCGAGGAGGCCCATATATTTTTGGAGGGTGGTTAGAGAACACGCTGATATTTCAGGGAAATCACACTGTTAAAGAGTTTGCCAGTAAAGCTACATGCAGAACTGTAAGTTTCAGAAAAAACTGAATTGGGAACCTCTTGCATTTTCTGATGCCCTAAATAGAATTGGAATCTACATGAAATATTTAGTAAATGCTACATTAAGAACCTAAAATACTAAAATTTACTGTATAAATTTCTCAGAAGTTTTCTTAGTTGGCAAAAGTATTTTGATGGGAATTAATTAGTAGAAATGTTGTGTATACTATGCTTAATGACCCACATTTTCTTTTTATTGGAATGCTTGTGGTTTGACCTGCGTATCCTTGCATATATGAAATTTGTTGGTTTCTTCCTTTCGCTACTTCCACAGGTATCCTGACTCATGGTATCGGGACATAACCTCCAACCAGAAGTTTTTTTCCCTGGCAGCGACTTACCGTGGCACCATTGTGGGAATGATAGTTGCTGAGATCAAGAGTCGAGCCAAAGTGCACAAAGAGGTAAGTTCTGAGTCTCTGTCCTGCACAGCCTTGGCTTCTCTGAGGCCACCAAAGATTGCATCATCCTGGCCTCCCAACCAAGTCATTCTTGTTCTTTTTAATGATGGTGCAACTTGCTGACCTTCAGGCTTTCATTCTTAAGCTTTGAAGTGTGAAGATCGCATCAGCTAACAGAGACCTGGGACTGACTTCATAGTCTGCCCTTCCAACTCTGTGCCTTTATCCTGCCAATATCTGTTTGGGACCTCCTGCTTCCTTTTCCACTTTTTTTTTTTTACTCTCTGAGCATAGGGGGAAATTTGCTAATGGGCCCCAAATCCTACTTTCCTGCCTTCCTGTCCAAACGAGAAGGATGTGGCTGTTTGGCTAATGGGCACTGAGCGTGATTAAAAAATGGGCTTCATACATCTGTCTCTTCACTGTGTCTTTTTCTTGAGTTTCTCTCTAGGATGGTGACATTTTAGCTTCTGGTTTT